GTCAAATGAATTAATTTACTGTGCCCCCATTTGCTTCAAATTGATGAATATTGTTTTTTCTTAGGTTTGAGAATGCTGCACAATGTAATGAAAAAATACAGAGAAGACTTCAAAAAGATACCAATCCTCCGGAAGCTTCTGAAGGTGTTTGCACTGAAAACTGTTTTAGTTATATAGTATTTTTTTTTTTTTTTTTTTTTTTTTTTTACACTCCAGCTGCAAAATTGCCCATGTTTTAAGTATTAGCTCTCTCTCTCTCTCTCTCTCTCTCTCTCTCTCTCTCTGTGTGAGTGTCTTCAGGGATTCAAGAAAAAATGTGATAAAGAGAACAATTCTTTATAAATATTTTGGTATTCAGCAGACTGCTGACTAATATTATTTTCGCAGGTCCTAGAGTATTTAGCTATGAAACAGATACTTACATCGGATCATATTACTGGAGGTCCTCCCTGTGCTGGAATGGAGAGGTAATTATTTGTTTCATCATTAAATTTGTTTATTGATTTGGTATAATCACTTTGCTCTTTTTTTCTCCTTTGTTGGGTTGGCATTTTTGACACTGGAAGTTGGTTTTGGATTCAACTGATGGCATCATTTGGAAAAGGTTTTCCAGTTGCTTTGTTGTTTATGTATGGACGCACTTCTGATATTGTTACTACATGGTTGGGGAATCTTTAACCTAATTTTTACATAAATCACTTTTAATGATGGATCTGCTTTGTACAAGGCAGGTTTACTGTCGATTATGCTGTGCTATTTTTGGGAACATTTAACTTTGTGATATATTTGGTCCCAAGACTCGGCTCAGTTGAATGCTTCCAGCTGTTCAGTTTTTTTCCTGCAAATTGATATCAGTGCTCAAACTTAATTCAAGTAAATATTATCTCTTGGTAATGTTGTTTATTTCTGATAATTGTGTTTCTCTGCAGCTTTATGGAGTCAATGCTGTCACTGACGGAACACGAAGACAGACAGGTCTACTTTAGAAAAATCTTAGATTACTTGATTATCTAGTTTGTTATCATCTTTATCAAAATAGTTGCTTATGCGGGCTTCATTTGATCTTCTCTGTCATATGTTGATGCTTAATACATTGACGAATGGATATAACCTCCGAGTCTGAATCAGTTGAGGATTCTACAGGTCCACCAAATAGCACGGAATTTTCGAGACAAGTGGATTCCCAGACCTTTCAGAAGACATGGCTATGTAGACAGGATTGATAGCAAGATGGAATTTAACAGAGGTTCAAACTGCAATAGATTTTCTGCATCACATGATAATTGGCGTGATCAAAGTGGAAGGTCTACTGAAGCTATAGATAGTGCCAAACAATCAATGGTCTCAACAACTTCTGTGAGTACAGGTGTCCAGGAGGTCTCTTCCGCACCTTGTTTGGGTGGTTGCCCTACCAGTGAGACAAAAGTTCGCAAGCGTAAAAGCCGATGGGATCAACAGGCAGACCCAGATTCAAGTTTACTTCAGAACAAAGAACAGAAGAGTGAGTCTGGATTGTGTAGACAGTTAGCACCTAGTCCATCTCCTGGGATAGGTGAAATGGCATTGCATCTGGAGAGGGTGAGTGGAGAAGATGGAACTTGTTCCAGCAGTGTGCATGGTAACTGTCAGCAAAATGATGGAACAGAGATAAACCTTGACGATATTCCTCCTGGGTTTGATGCCCCTGCGATTTCATCTGTTGCTTCATCATCACTTTGTCCTTTGAGGTGTGCTGCCCCAGCGGTAGGGCATCCACAGGAGAAATTTGTTTCTCGCTTGCCCGTCTCATACGGAATTCCCGTATCTGTCATGCAGCAATATGGGACACTCCAAGCTGAAACTGTAGAGACATGGACTGTTGCTCCTGGGATACCTTTTCATCCTTTTCCACCATTGCCCTCGTTTCCCCGTCAGAAGAAAGGCCCTTCACCTTCTCATACCGTCAATCATGTGGCAGTTAGTCAGCCTGCGGAAGGAAAACATGACAGGTGCGTTCCTGCAACATCTCTCTCTAATGAAAGCATTCCTGGCACAACCGGTGCCAATCAGGCAGAGTTTAGCATTCCATGTGCAAACAACCAATATACATCTAAGCGGCCAAGAGGATTCTCAAATGATTTGGGAAGGAGATACTTTAAGCAGCAGAAGTACTGGAATAATAATAATAATACAAAATTTGGACCGCCATCTTTCGGCGACAGAAATGGGTTGGGGTGCAACGGAAACAACTCTGGAGGTAGAACAAACGGCGGCATAGGTGTAGGAAATGTAGCGAATGAGCATAGGAGTTCATATTATGCCAATGTCAATCAGCATCCACAACACCATTAATCAACATTCTTTCATAGGGTGAGGCTGCTTAGCTTATTTGCCTTATACCTCAACGTTTTCCCCAATTCTTTTTCCTCTGTTTTTCGGGTTTATTTAATCTAAATATTTATTCGATATTCAAGTCTCGGAGTCGAAGTTCATGAAAAAATTGCTCCTGTATGGTGAAGTGCTCTTGCGAATATTCATCTGTCGACTCACACCTCGAAGAGGTAAGCAATTTTTATTTAACATTCTCATAGTGATATATGTTTTAAGAGAAATGAAATGACTTGATTAATGTTCTCCATGATGTTCAATTTTAGTTTTAAATTTGACTTAGTTATCTGGTTAGTTTATTGTGTTACTGGATGTTGATTAAGTTCCGTGCATCTTGAACACCAAGGTGGCGGTGTAACAAAGTTACTTTAAGGGAAGTTCGATATCAAATTATTGCTCAACTCCGATTGCCCGTTACAGGCGTAAAAAACTTGTGTTTTGGTTGAAATTTGGACCGCTGTTCATTACCATGTTTTTGCTCGCTCTTTTGATACAAATCTAAAGTGAATTCTGAAATCGATCAGAGAGTGTTAGTGAAGTGTGTAACGTCCTGAATGATCTCGATGGTGTTGTAAATGATATGGTGCCCGTTCTGGAAAACCGGAAGTTTTGCGCTCGGATTCATCCTGAAGAATGAAGCATCCATGTTCTTGCCTGTCACAGAATTGACATGGAAGGATGTGTAATCAATGCCTTTTTACTCCAAAGCAAGCCTCACTCTTTGGCTGTCCAATGAGTAAGGATGGTGATATAACTGCATCGTTAAGGAACCGAGCTCTTCTGTTTCGCCTTTCGATTAGTTAAAACGTAATCAAAAGCGAAACTTTGAACGATGCGTGATGTAAGTAGATGATATTTGACACCAGTTTTCTTAGCAGACAGGTAAATTAGTTGTGCAAATTGCTTTTTTATTTTTCCAACTACGGAAATTTACAAACAAACCAAGCTTGGATTTCACTTTGACATTGATTCTAACCAACGAAATCAGTGGCAGAGCCAGCATGGGTTATTGGTTGATATTATGACTTATTATTGAAAAATTGGGATCTTTTGATATGAGTCCAATTTTATAAGCCTATTTTGAATGGAATCCACTAATATTACATAAGTATAAGTGGGGGTTAATAAGTACAACAATCATCCATATCAGCAATTAAAATGCACATAATTTATAAACAAAATTACAACAATTGCCATTAAATGGTTTATCAAGTCTCTTGCAGATGAATTACAACCCAAATTAATCTCATTTTTTATTCAAAACCTTATCCTCCTATCTCTCAAATTGCTTTGCGTATCCAGCGGAATCTAAATTTTGAATTCTAAATCCGTATGAAGATATGAAAGCTATAAATTTTCTCCCAGTATATGATGAAAACAGAATGGGCGAATATTTGATTCGGGTTTCCTGGTATACTTGGAGAACAGGTATTGCAACTTCTCGGAAGATTTCAATTTCATACATGGTCATGTGGTTTTGTTTTTCTAATTTTTTGGTTTGGTGATTTGGGCTTTGTTTTTGCAGTGTTCGTTACCTGGATAACAGGTATTACACTCCCTCGATTTCAATAGCAGTATTTGATAACAGGTGCTACCGTATCTTTGCTCTAAATTTCTTCTTTTCTTTTTTTTTTTCACTTGAATTGTTTGAGATTTTAGAGTTTGACGACAGGTATGAATTGGTGGCCAGTGTTTACGACGCATTAGTGAAGGCTTGTACTAGTTTGAAATCGATTAGGGGGGTTAAGAGGGTTAATAATTACATTATTAGTAATGGGTTTGAGTTGGATCAGATACAAAAAACAGGGTGCTGCTTATGCATGTGAAATGTGGGATGATGATTGGTTCAATTTGTTTCTCTAGTTTTTTGGTATGCTGCTTTGGCTTTTTACTTTTGTGGTGTTTGATACCTAGATTACAGGTACTATAGTTCATCTTTAATAATTGGTGTTTTAGTATTTGGAACTTTAATAATTGGTAGTTTAAATTGAGACATCATTTATCTTGTAGAGTTACTTTAGGATAATTAGTACAGATTGTTAAATTAGTCTCTTTTTAACATTACTTATATAAACATGATATGTAGTTTGGCTTGATATGTTATCATTTGGGTGTTATTTAGTATGTTTTGGAATAATCATGCTTATAGCAGACTTTGTATTACTTGTAGACGAAGATGTTTTGCAAGGAGAGAAAAAAAAAAGATAAGCCTGGATTACAGGTCTGACTTTTTGAAGTTTCGTCGCATTATGGAAGAAATGAGACATAGTGTTACAAATGCGCATCTTGAGTTAATGAATCATACACCATTCGGGAGGTTGTTCAAAGTGTACCACAAGAAGTTGATCATTGATGGTGTTTGCCAAAAATGTGATGCAAATATTGTGTCTATATTGAAGTAATATACATGTACAACTAATTGTGAATGTCTACACAAATATGTTGGTTAAATTTTACCACATACTTGTTATAAAAAATGGTTGTTGGTAATTTTCCTACATGTTAGGTAGTTTAACAACTTATGATTGCTTGTCATATATAGGTTTGATTTGGAAGGTTTAGTAATGATATCATAATAAATAAATATATAGTCTTCACAGATTGCATAAGCCATATGACATATACGTAGATAATGGAAAAAGGAAGAATATGAGTAAGCTAAAAAGTTGAAGGCATCATTTTATTACATTGATAAAAAAAATAAAATAAAAATTCAAATGGCAACGAAGATGTAAGCATCACCACACCTACTGCACTTGTTGGGGCGTGCTTCTTCCCCAATAGATTTTAGTCTTTTAACTTTTGGTCTACCTGGGGGCCTGTGTGTCAATGGGGGTTCTATCCTATGTCCAGGATATAGTGTGATGCAGGATATGCAGAAGGTGGGAAATTTCATGTCAGGCCTTTGCTTGTACAAGTCGCACACCATTACCATGTTAAATCTATCTCGTCTGCCAAATCCAGGATTACAACCCCACAAACCTTATACATTCTTCCAAAGATATAACTATGAAAGTCATGATTATATGGATTACGGGAATTAAAGAGTACAATTTTCAAAGAGGTATAACATCAAACACCTTCGGTGCATTGGTTTTTTTGAATAAAAAGAGAAAGAAGCATATCAATGAGAGATGATAGAAAGGGATTAGGGGAATTAGGATAAAGTCTTCATGTAAAAATTCGCACAACAAACAACAATAAAGGAGAAAACAATTATAACATACTTGACTTGAAAATTAAATGGCACTCAATTTGTTGTGTTTTAGTCCTTTGATAGACGGAGAAGGTTGTGTATCGCCAAACCACGAAGGAAAACACACGACTCATAAAATTGTATCTAGAGAATAGGTCTCTTGAAAAAATCTGCACGTATAAAACACATCTAATTTGTATAGAAAGCTAAAAGTGATTAAGCCTTCCTTAAAAATAGATTGATAAGAAATTCAAATTTAAAAATTGTTATCAAGAAATTGGGGAGAAAGATGAAGGAAACTAATGAACAATGAATTTGAATGCTGATAAAAATTTAAAACATGGGAAATATATGAAGAACGTGCAAAAGTTACAGGAGGGTAAAATAGTAATAACAATGTCAAAAAATCAACCTAATCAGAAAAATTGCTTACATGGAATCCTAGTCATTAAAGTTAAGTCAAAAGTAACTAAAAATTGAACTAATCCTAATATTAGGCTATAAAATTAGACCTATTTCAAGTTTCCCCTTTTAAAATTCTGGCTACGCCAATGAAACAACCCAATTCAAGTACATAAAGTTTCACCACTTTAATCAATTCAAAAGACAAAACATATTATTTGAATTCAACAACAGCAAGCATTGAAAAAAAAACACCAGGAATTCAGATTCCAACCAAACCATGTCCATAACAACTCAAAATTCAAACTTCAAACTTCCCAAAATTCAAATTTGAAGCTCTCTAAAAACCCAATGGAGAAAACTATACACTTCACGAAACTAAAAATTCTCGAAAATTAAAAAAAATTAAAAAAAAAAAAAAAAAAAAAAAAACTAACTGGAAAATAAGACACCGATCAAAAATTCTAAAAATACAGTTAAACTAAAAACTAGTGTTTAAGATTTCTTCGATGTTTGATATTCCTTGGAAGTATTCAAAAAATTCAGAGAACATATGAAAATGAGGGTGAAGTCTAAACTTCACCTCATATCGGGAAAACATTTAGGCTAAAATCAATAGATATCACAAAGTTCTGATAAATATTGAAGAAACTCTTATATTTACCAATAATCCTTGAAGTTTTATTTTAAATTTTCATTAATTTCATCAAAAGCAAAGATATTTTATGAATTTACACATCGATATTTATACCGCTACCGATATTTTAAACACCGACCTCAATTAGAATTCTATAAATACAGTTAAACTCATAAGTTCATAACATATTTTAACTCTTTTCTTTCGCCCCACTCAAAAAAAATTGTCAACAAAAAAAACAACAACAATCTCATATAACATTGGCAACAAAAACATTAAACTGACAGTAAAAGACAGTGATTCAGAACTTACCCAGAAAAGCAGAAGATTTAATGGAAATTAAAAGACTATTTGGGTTGGGGAATTTGAGGAGTTTGTAGGAAGAAGAAGAAGAAACTCTCACTCTCCACTCTCCAGATGGATAAAGAACTGAAAAGGGTTTTTTTTATTTTTTTATTTTTTATTATTACTAGAAAGCTGTGAGAGTAAAAGGGCACAATCACAACTGGGAGTGGGAGGTACTGTAATCTATGCTTCCAGAAGTTCTAATTCGTTCGAAAGTGGAACCCAACTATTTGGTGTCTTACTCGCTCGAGTATAGCGAGATACGTGTACGTACTCGCGCTGTCTGGATGAGCACGCGTCTACCTGCACTTTTTCCCGGTTTACTTACTAGGTCATTCGCGCGGTCAACTTGTAATCTTTCTACCCGGCTGACTTTCACTCCGTTGTGAACTTTGTCCAACCTTTTACTCTTTTTTCTTTGAAAAAAAAAAAAGAAAAAGAAAAAGAAAATCGTTGATAAGTTACAGTTATCTATATTTCGAATCCAAAGATATTATAAGGAATTTTACCCTCTTTGTGACCATACTCAAGCAGACTCAATAGTTCGAAATATCGAACACGAGATCTCCCACATTTTTTTTTTGTTTATTAAAGAATTGCAATCAGCATTCTTACCTTTTTTTTTTTTTTTGCCAAGTACCCTTACAACCGGGCAATTTTGCTGTGATTTTTTACTCTTTTTTTCCTCTCCCTTCCTCTTTTATTGGTGGAGACCTCCTCTTCTTTTCTCTATTATTGAATAAATCATGACACTTTATTTCTTATAAAAACATAAAAATCATGACAAAAAGAAGAAGAAAATAATGCTTTTGTAATCTTTATAAAAGATTTTACAATACACTTGTAGTGTCACAATAAAGTTAAACTGTCACAATGAGAATAGTCAAAATTAGAGTTTACATGTCGACTCATCACAAATTATATATTAACATAATCATTTTCTATGGAAGTTAAACTTGAAACATATTTAAACTTGAGACATATGTCAACTAAGTAGAAAGAAATACGACTAGACCAAAAGATTGTTGGTAAAGAAAAATAAATCTTAATAGAAATCAATAACATGAAATTCTTACAAGTTCACAAATGCAATATTAAAACAGTTTTGAAGTACTGGGTTCCGGCACAAACCTGCAAAATTTGAAAGATATTTCTTGCCTGTGAAGAGCCCTGATTTGTTATAGCTTATAAAACAAAGATATTTCGACGATCTAGTGAACTTTGTAAGTTGAACAAAAGAAATAGGCTTAGGGTTTAAATATAGCATACTTTAGTGGTTATTAAGAGGAAACCAATTTGGGCATGTCCAAACCTTTCCTTTCCTGTAGACGAAGCCAATGTCATAATTAACAGGTTTGGGGATGCCCGAAAACAAGTAACCTCCTAATATTAGAAAAAATAAAAAGTAAAAACGTGTTGTGACCTATTTACTAACGGGAAAAGAGAAGGTGCGGTGAAAGTAGTGGAGAAATGGCTCAGGGCAATTGTAATGTGTTTCCCTTGTGCCAGTGCCACCTTTATTTATAGTAAACAATAAGAGAAAGAAATTTACTCTTCACTTGTAAGTGAGACGTTTTAGATTCGATCCTCGCGCAAAGGCGAATTTGAACCACATTATTGCTAGCCCATTGTGAAGCTAAGCCCATCTTCTCTCTTTTAATGTAGATCTAGGATTTATACAATCACTCTATGTCAATATTAATAAGTGTTATTATCCAAAATGGTCCCTGAGATTTACATGATCAGTAGAAATGGTCTTTGAGATTGAAAATCAATAGAAATGGTCCCTGAGATTGTCCACCATCCATGATTTTGGTCATTCCGTTAAAAACTCTTTGGGCAATTTTCAAAGCTTCGTAACTCAATCGATTCTTAATCAAATTTGACCTATAATATATCCAAATTAAGATAAGAAAGTGTAGAACAAGATTATACTTATTTGGAAGCCCAATGACTGTCGAATATGGCCGGAAAACAGCTTGAAAGGTGACTGATCCGCGGGAAAACTGGAAAACTTGCCGGAAACTGAGGTAACTTTAAACGTTTATAACTTCTTCAATACTCAACGAAATCGAGTGATTCAAAAACGAAAATCATACTTCTCGACGAGACAAAGAGAATGTTATCTTTCTTTACTGCTAAATCGCCGTGCTTTGGCAGGAAAAAGTTAGCCACTTTCGAGCCGTAGTCCGACCAAACAACGGCGAGTTAGCCTTCAAAAAGGTACCATTCTCTTCATCTTGTCAAGAAGTATTATTTTCATTTTTGAATCACTTGATTTCGTTAAGTATTGAAGAAGTCATGAACGTTTAAAGTTTACCCAGTTTCCGGCCAGTTTTCCAGTTTTTCAGCGGACCAGTCACCTTTCAGGCTATTTTTCGGCCATCTCTGGCAACCATTGTGCTTTCAAATAGGTATAATCTTATTCTACACTTTCCTTTCTTCATTTTGATATATTATGGGTCGAATTTGGTTAAGAAACGATTGAGTTACAAAGTTTTGAAAATTGTCCAAAATCATGAATGGTGGACAATCTTAGGGAACGTTTCTATTGATTTTCAATCTTAGGGACCATTTCTATTGATCATGCAAATCTCAGAGACCATTTTGTATAATAACCCTATTAATAATACACATACAATTTTTTTTTTCTAGTAATAATATAATTCAAATTTGTTTTTACTGCGAATCGGACAAATTTTTTGTGTCCTACAGCGGCTCTTTAGTTTTTGTTTAGTCTCTTCTCTTCCTTTTGTGTGCTGGAGTGCCTAACATGCCTCTTCAATTATGGGCCATGGGTCGTTCTTAATTGGGCCCAATTTGTACATATCAAGATTTCAGCTCATCTGGGCCCATAATTAGTTTAGAACTTTTTTTCGCACTAGAAAATGGAGATGTTATTGGAACTCCCACAATGCCATCTTGCATTTTCTTAATGAGACGTGCGAATGATTTTTTTATTTTATTTTTAACAAATGCTATAATCTACACTAGGTAATGAGGGAGCGAGCTAAATCTTACAATGATATATAGAAATAATGTGGTTCAAATTCTCTTTTGGTGTGAATCGAACTTAAGACCTTTCACTTATAAGTGAATAGGAATACCGTCAGACCATAATATAAGTGGTGCAAGTGATCTTTTTAGAGTGTTATATTTAGTTCAACAAAAGTATTCTCTTGACCAGACCAAAGAATGCACAGTCATTCACTCTTGAACTTGATATAGAGGGTGGAGAATAAAAAAAATGTGTTTTTCAATATTTAATCTCCATCCTTGATTACAAATTCAACCGTGATGGACAATGTATCTCTGGTTATCATGTGACCAAGAGAACGGAATCTTTAGTTCAAATATTTATATTAAGGTAAGGTGTCCTTTAAATGTCCACAATTAATTTAAATCTTCTTTGGGCTTCACGTTTCTACCCAAAATCAAAGCATGTCTTCTCTTACATTCAATTTCTTTTACTTTATTATTACGTTCAATTTCTTTTACTTTATTATTAGAAAATTGTTATTGGCACTAAAATAATTTTATTTTGCACTCTAAACTTTTTATATATAGAAAGAAAAATACACTTATGAGGGGTGCCAAATGAGATTTTTAGAGTGCAAATAACAGTTCTCCATTATTATTATTATTAGGAATTTTTTTTGAAATGACATATGAACTTGTTCATATTTTTCAATTTGTAAACTAAAATTTTAAGCAATTTGTTATACAAACTTTACAAAATCATTAATTTGTCATTTATGACAAATTAATGATTTAAAAAAAATTTATATGACAAATTACTTAAAATTTTAGTTTATATGATAAACTGAAAAATGTAAATTTTCCCTTATTATTATTATTCTTTTGTTATATCCTCCATATATGAACTTCTAAATTTCACGTGCATGGAAAGAGAAATGTCATGTACCTACTCGTGGGTGCCCAACAATAGATTTGAGAGGATATATAAATAAAAGTGACCCTTAACTAACTAAATCCTGGTCACAAAATTTCTAACGTCACCGTCACTCACCTCCCATGTCTAAATCCATTCTTCCAACCAAATGAATTGACACCATATATCTTCATTTGTTGAATAAGATAATATTATGGAGATTATATTTTTCTTTTAATAAACAATATTATCTATACCAAGAGGGTGGGAGAGTGGATTAAGTTTTACAATAGGTTTGCAATAATAATGTAGTTCAAATTTGCCTTTGGCGAGAATCGAACCTAAAATCTCTCACTTATAATTGAAGAGGAATACCACTAGACCGTAGTACTAAGTGGCATAGAGACCATATTTTTGTACCACATTGATATACTATATTATGTGACAAGTAATATATGTACATGTTACGTCACTAAACGAATTTATCTCATTAAATATTTATTTGTTACTTTACTTGTGCATGTGGCTATGACTGCGACCCAAACCAGAACAAACACTACAAACAAAAGGCTTGTACACAAAATTTCCAATCGAAAGTATTCTAAAATCAAATCCAAATAAATGCCCGTCACATTACATTTTATCACAATATAGACGACAAGCAACATGCATGGCTTCTTCTACGTGATCCGATCCGACTATGGGCTACAAGGCAACATGGCTTCTCATGACTTGATGGGTTCATTGTTTGGAGCTTGGATAATTGGTCTAAATGTTTGACTTTTACTAATTAGGGTTTTGTGTGGAAGTGATTCTGAGCCAGAATCACTTGTGAAGAGAAGCTATCACTAAAATGATATATGTAGAAACACTATCATGTGCTTATTAATAAAGTCACTTAAAGCGATTTTACAGAGAAATACCTTGCATGTGTTTCTCTTCATAAGTAATTTTGGTTCTTCTAGAAGTACCTTCTAAATGGGTCTCTATTTTTTTTTTTTAATTGGCGTTAATCTTGTGCTTATGTCTAAAGTTGCGTCGTTTTTAAATTCTGCAAAAGTTATTTTTTCTTATTTAAATCATAGGTTTGTAGATACCTAACCTAACACTCAAGGCATTGAGCGGTCTTAAGTTATTATCATTACATACATGCACTATCTTTAAATAACTCAGTTTATTCTTCATACTATAGTCATTGAAAATAAGCCTACCAACCGAACAGTTACGTTTCCCTTTTCAAGTAGTTAAAGATGTTACGGTCGAATATTGCATCAAGGGCGATAAATTATAAGTGGGTTGCTGCGCTATTGGCTTCCCTTTGGTTAAGGTGCCGTTTTGGTAAAGCTCAACTCTCTTAATTAACTAATTAATTAAGTTATTCGGAACATCACAACTCTAACCAATTATTATTACAATTTTTTTTAGTACAACTATATATTTTACATTAAGAGAAGAGAGAGTTTGGTTAAGCCACATAATGGGCAACTTAATTTGATATCGAATTCGCCATCTACAAGATTCGAACCTAAGACCTCTCACTTACAAGTGAAGAAGAATACCATCAGACCATAGTACCGAGTGACATTATTATTACAATTAACTGCGAAACCAAAAAGCTATATAGTAAAATCTGAGTTTTTTCTTCCTTCTTTTACTACAGAGATATTAGAATGCACAACAATTTACATGGTACAATATATTGCAATTGCAACTTATATTATCATGTGAATAAAATTTGCATATATAACATTGCATTATTAGCACGAAACCATGCCGTAAAAGTCTCACTCTATAAAAATAACATTAAAAATTGATAATGATTTGGTAATTAATTTGTTAAGTAAGCATGCATATTTTTTGGGTTTTGTGGGCAGTGTGACAAGAGTGTTTTACAAGCAAAAATCTAGATCTATAGCGAAGGCCTTCTTTTAAGGCATACAGCAAGTAAAACAATTACATTTTCTTGGTGTCCAACATTTTCATAACTCCCAATATTGACGTGCTGGAGGGGGAAAAGGGTAAAAAATAGGTTTGTGCTATGAAAACAATTTATATAAA